CCCACCCACAGGCTGCCGGGTAAACCACACAACGGGGGGCAGCCCGGCTCCGCTCCGGGCGCAGCAGCGCACCCCCGCCGGGGGGCACCAGACCGCTCTCGCGAGCCGGCAGGCGTGCATGTGCATATTAGTAATGCATGTGTAATCGGCCGGTCCGTTGGGAGCCGGGACAGGCCCCTTTTCAACGCCGGGCTCCCTCTGTGCGGTGCGTGCCGCCGCGTCGGCCCCGTCCCGTGCGCCCTGGGAGGCGCGAGCGGAGGAGGAAAGCGAGAACAGGGAGGACAATCTATTGCGCACACGCGCGTGCGCCCACCCGCGGTCAGGGAGACGGGCAAATATGGGGGCGGCGGGGAGCGGTGCCGCATACTCACAAGGACAGAAAATTCAGAGGGGGCCGGTGGTCTCGGGAGGGGGGGGGGAGCCCGGAGCACTCACGCCCGAGCATTGCCCACCAGCTCATCACCGAGGGTGGCTGGGGCCTGGGCTTCGGCTCCGGGGTCGGTGGTGGCGGGCCCGGCCTCCGTGGTATCCTGTTCGCCGAGCTTCCGCGCGGCCAGACGCTCCTTCAGCAGATCCATGCGCTCACGCTGCGAGAGGTGGAGATGCTGGGCGATCTCGGCCACCGGGTGCGAGGCGTCGTCCTCCGGGAAGATCGGGATGTTGGCGCGCTGGAGGAACTCCAGCGGCCCGGGGATGGATGCCGCCTCGACCTGCTGCAGGCGAGTCAGCAGAGTGGCCGCATGCGTGCGGCAGGACTCGCTGCCGGGATTCGCGCGCAGACGCTCGAGTGCCAGCTCCAGCTCGTCGGCCAGCTCGCGCTTGGCGGCCAATTCCGCTCGCAGGGCGGCATGCTTGTGTTCCTGTGGCATCGCCGAGACGGGCAACGGGGGCACGATACGCAGGGGGCCCAGGGCACAGGAGACCCGAGCGAGAACCGGAGGTGAATAAGAGGAAACAGGGGGGGGGGAGGGAAGGCGGGGGTCGAGGAGGATGGCAGCCGGCAGTCATACCTTTCGGTCGTACTCATGCTTCTCAATCACATAGAAGCCGATGCCTCCGCCAACGAGAGCACCTACAGGGGGGCGGGCGGGAAGCCGGGATGGAGTTAGACACGGGCATCAAGGGACACTCTGATAGTCGGATAGGGACCCCTGGCAGAAGCCCCAGCAGCAGGGGCGGCAAAAGGGACGGGCAGAGGGGGAGATGCAAAAGGCCGGGGACACGCGAACACGCACCGAGGGACGCCTTGACGACCAGACTGGTGGGCTTGTGGTTGGGGAGCTCGTAGAAGCGCCGGAGCATGGTTGCGTGCTGCTTTGCTGGGCAGCCGGGGGGGGGGCAGGAGAACCGATGAACCTCGTGGAGGGGACGGGGACAGGGTAGGGGGGAGGGGGGAGGGAGAGAGAGTAGGCGGAAGGAAAAAGAGAGGAAGGAACGAGGGAGCAAGGTGTGCTGGGGGCCGGATCCCAGCCACCGCGGCGCAGCGCCATTTCAGGCACGCACCCAGCTGCCAACGCGCGGGCACGCGTCCTATCACGTGCGACTCTTGTGGATTGCCCGATTGGATATCGTTCTAAACCCTCCTGGGCGCGGAGACCGGAGCGGGCACCCAGGCATGGCCGGACGCATTCGCAAGAGAACGCCCGGCATCCCGGCCGCGGCAGGAAGGCCCACGTCCGGGGGATGACAAGGCTGGGGACCCGGCCAGGGCGGGGGTGCGGGCGGGGGGGGGGGGGGCCGCCGCCAGGAGGCTCGAAGAGCGCCGGAGACAGTCCCAGGAAGTCTCCCCGGCCCGGGGCTGCCCCTTACAGCACACATCCGGCAAGGCCGGACCCGGGCGGAGGGGGAATGAACTAGCTGGGCGGACAGCCGGCCCGGATGGCGTGCGACCCGCGTCCCACACGTCGCGCCCCGCGTTGGTCTCTCTCATCATCGGCCCCTCCTGCCCGAATGGAGCAGGAACGCCCCACGATGCCACCGGGTCCTGGCCCCCCGCCCCCCGGGGGGGGGGGGGGAGGGGGGGCGATGATCCCTGCGGACTTCTCACTGAGGCGCCGCCTGTCCGCGGCAGATCGGCCTTCCAGAGGCCACGAGAAGGGGCCAGTTCGGAGAGCAGTTGTGGGCCGAGCGCGGGCCAAAAACGGGGCCCAGGGCCCGGCCGGGCCTGATACCGCGCGTCGCCCGCCCGCCAGGTCCGCGGGGGGGGGCGGGGGGCAAAATGCATGGTGCGTCCCACGCGTCGCGGTGGCAGTAGATTGGGGCCCCGCCGGCGCGCGGGTGGCCATTCTCATGAGGCCGGTCTGACCGCGCGCCCTCCGCATTCTCGACCGTTGATTCTCCTCGGCCACGCCGGAAGGGGCATACCAGAGGGGGCCGTCCTCACGGCGAAAAAAGCCCCCGCGAGAGACGGGGCCGAGGAGAGGGGCCAAAGAGAGAGCCCAACGGCCGGGCCCGCTTCGCCGCAAGAAGGTCTTGGGACAAGATCGGCTCCTGCGCCGCGGGGGGGGCGGGGGGCGGGGGGCGGGTCGACGCGCGCACGCATGCCCCCTCCCGCCCCCTGGCCGGGCCGGCTGTAACCGCCTTAGCTAGGGAGGACTATGCCGGCGTGTGTGTGTGTGTGTGCGTGCGTGCATGTGTGCATGCTCCGGCGTGGCCACAACATGTATGTGTGGTGTGCGATTGCAGGGTCTTTCCGTGGCGATCGCAGGGGCCCTGTCTTTTTTAGGCCGGGACATCGGGCGTCCAGGCGCCCCGTCGCGCCTCTTCCCCAATCCCCCCCTCCCCTTCTCCTCTCTGTCGCCCTGTGTCACCAGACACCTCTCTCCGCCCACGCCTCCCTCCTGCCCTCCCTCCACGCCTCTGCTCCATCGCAGCCCCCAGCCCCTCCCCTGCTGGCTCGCCCGCTACATCCGGCTCCTTCCACTTGGTCGCCCCATCTCTGCCTGCAGTCGTGCGCATACACCCCCCCCCCCCACTCTCTGCGCCTCGCGCGCGCACACACACACACACACACACACACACACACACACGCACACACGCTCGTACATATTCACGCGGCTCCCTCCCTCCTGGGCCAATCGTCGCCCCGCGAGCTGACACCTTCGCCCTCCTCTCCCGATCTGGGGCCTGCCCTGGGGGGACACGCCCTCCGGCCCAGGTGTCTTCCTCGTCACAAGCCACTGGGAAGCGCCAGGCGCCTCCCTTCTTCCGGTCTTCATCGTCACTGGACGGTGAGACGGTGATCGACCTCTCGGAGGATCTGCCCCACGAGCCGACTCCAAAGCGTCGGTCCCCCTCGGCGAGCGCCTCCTCTCCCCAGGCACCTCCGACGCCACCTTCACAGCAGCGCCAGCCGCGGCACTCCGGCCGATCGCGCCAACCCCCGGCATCGCCCCCGCCGAAGCCCTCCCGAGCCCAGACCCCCTTTTCGACCCCGCCCCCGCCCCCGCCGTCCACGACCCCCGGCCCCGCCTCGTCCTCCCACCGGCCGATGTCAGCCGCCTCCCAGTCCAATCAACATGGCCGGCCGGCCTCTCGCCTAGCGGTGGATCCCCAATTCGCCCCGAACTCCACCGCCACGCACTATGAACGCCTGGGGCTGTCACCCGATGCCACGGCCAAGGAAATTCGCCAATCGTGCGTCTCGGGGCCGGTGCCACGCCTCTCCCTTCTCCTGGATCGCCGCCCTCGTTCCGACCTTCCTCCTCTTCCCCTTTCTTCCTCCTCCTTCCCACCCCCAACCCGGGCCACTGACCCTGCCAGTCTCCCTTCCTCGCGCGCTCCCTCCCTCCCTCTCTCTCTCTCTCTTTCTCTCCTGATAGCTTCCGAAAGAAGGCCCTCCTTCTCCACCCAGACAAGAATACCGCGGAGGATGGCCCAGAGGCGGCGCGTCGCTTCCAGATGCTTGTACATTCGTATAACACCCTTTCCGACGGTCCGTTTCTCGCCTTCCCCTCCACCCCGCTTCCCCGCTTTCGAATGCCTGCCATTGCATCGACTCCTCCTTCCCCCATCTCACATGTGTGTTTCTTCGCCCAAACACATACGCACATGCATGGCACCTATGGCTATGGATGTCTATGCGCCCGCTCCACACGCGCCAATGGGTTGCCGTCTGTTGGGATTCTCCTCGGTCCCGTAGAAACCCTCCGGCTCAAGTACGACAATGAGCTGGAGCGCCGGAGGCGTATCTCAGCTCGCAAGCGCCAATCGGCCGCCTCCAAGGCATCGGCCGCGCGGTCAGCCGCCGCTGCCGCCCCTCGGCCATCATCCAGCCACCCTCAGGCAGCCCCCCCCAGCACTGCCTCCAGCACTGCCTCCCATCAGACCCCCTCCACCACTGGCGCGGGCACCGGGCGCCCCGGCTCGGCATCCTTCCCGTGGACACATTCGGAGGCCCCCCAGCCGCACACCCATTCGACGCACCACTCCTTCTCGTCCGCCAACGGCCACACCACTTTTACCACATCCACCCGCACAACCACCTCCGGTGGAGGAGGGACCTGGTCTGCCTCGACAACCACCTCCACTTCCACCCCCGGCGTCGGGCCAGCCGGGACAGCACCCGTCCACCAGCAGCAAACCTTCTTCAGGACTGGCAGCGGCTCGTCATACACGTATGCTTACCATCCGCCGCCCGGCAGTGGCTCCGCCCCATCCCCGCCTCCGGCCCCGGCCCCGGCCCCGGCCCCGGCCCCAGCCCCGGCTGCGCACTACCCCGGCGCCAGCCCTCCAGGAGCGGATCCGGCGGCGGCGGCCTCTTTCGGCCACTCGATGTTCAATTACCCATATGTCTTCAACCCGGCGGATGTGCAACACGCACAGCAGGAGATGGCTTCGCTTCACATGCATCAACATGCTGCCCACATATCCCAAACTACGGCACATGTGTTCAATCACTTTTTCAATGACTTCACGCACATCTTCAATGACCTGGCCGGCTTCACGGGACAGCCAACCGCCTCTCCTCTCCAGGGGGCCTTCAGCCAGGTGTTCATGAACCTCTACCCGGGCATCGATGTGCCGAACTCCGTGCTTTCGATCGTCCAACACCAATACGCCGCGAACCAGGTCCGGGCTCCGGCCCCGCCCCCGGCCCCGGCCCCCGCCCCCGCCGCGACAACACACTACACGCCATACTACAGCACTCTGGGCCAGCCTTCCCCGGCCCAGGCTCAGTCCTTCCCCTCGACGCGGCCGCCCCCGCAGCCGCAGCCGCAGCCACAGTCGCAGCCGCAGCCGCACTTGTACTCGCACTCGCAGCCGGCTCGGCCACCGCCCGTGCATACCCCCTACTTTCTGGACATCCAGAACCAGTCGGGTCCCGCACCGGCTCCTGGCCGTGTGTACAGTCATCACACATCCTAGATCTCTGTGTCATACCATGCCGCCTGGGGGGGGGCGGGGGAGATGTGCCTCCTCCGCCCGGTTGTTGTCCGTGTTGGAAGGCACGACCGCAGCCAGGAGGGGGAGGGCATGTGCCCAGGTGTGCATGCGCGCGCAGCATGCCCTATGCGCCAGATGCGCCTTCCCGCGAGGCAATATCACTCTGTCCTTGTTTTCATCCACCTATATTCCTTGCTCCCCCGGTCTCCCTCTGCTCTTGGCCTGGCCCCGCGCATCGAGAAAAAAAAACACAGCCGCAGGAGGCTGGACAGGAAGCAGAAAGAAGCAGGGGGAACCCGTTGCACCACAGGGAGTCGGGCGCGGGGGTGGGGATCCCACATAAAGTGTATTTTGTCGAGCAGTGCCGCGCAGCCCTCCCTCCCTCCAGGAGCAAAGTTGCATGTGGGTCGAGGGAGAGAAGGGGACCCTCCTGGGGAGGAAGGAGTCCCCTCTCGTCCGGCAGCGGCACGCGCTCAAACGAACTCCACATAGGAAGTGGGGAAAAAGCCGCGCACACCGCGCGGGTCCTCGCCCTCGGTCCAGCCATCGCCGATGTCCTCACTGATGATGAGAATGGTGTCGCCCTCCTTGAGAGAGAGTTCCTCGGGGGCGGTGGCCTCGTAGGAGTAGAGCACACGGCAGGTCTTCTCGGAGCTGGACAGCCAGGAAGAGAGAGGGGGAGGGGGGGAGAGAGAGAGGGAGAGAGAGGAAGCGGTGAGAGGAGATGGCACACAAGAGGTCAGCAAAGGCCAGAGGGGCGGCAACGGCAGGAGCAGCAACCCAAGAACAAGCAAAGGGAGAACCGCCGGGAGCGAGAGCGGGGGGGGGGGGGGGGGGGGGCAAGCCCAGGACAGGCGTACCTCGGCGGAGGGGGCGGAGGGGCCGAGGAGTACATCGCCGCCGACGAGGCAAAGGCATCGTCGTCGATGATGTCGTCGGAGTTCCCCATCGAGGGAGGCATGCCGAAGGACATGTTTCCAAAGCCGGAGGAAGCCGGAGGCGGGGGCATGGGCGGCGCCGCGGTGAAGCTGGCGCTGTCGTCCCAGTTGTCCTGGTCGTCGTCGTCGTCGGCCGGCGGCGGCGGAGGCGGCGGCGGCGGCGCACCGAAAGCCGGAGGGGGAGCATCGGCCGGCGGCGGCGCACCAAAGCCCGAGGCATCCGAGACAGGCGGCGGCGGCGGCACGCCGAAGCCCGAGGCATCTGGCGGCGGCACCGGCAGGGTGGACGGCGCACCCGGGACGAGGAGGCTCTGCAAAGGTGGGGGAGAAAGGGACAACATGCCGATGGGGGAAGAGAAAGAGGGAGGGCAATTTGGCGGGTGAGTCGGGATGTGCCGAGGAGTGTTGGATGGTGGACGAGGGGCGAAATAGAGGAGAAGACGCGCGCGGGGGGAGGACGCACAGGAGAAACAGGAGAGTTGGTGGCGTATACCGAGGTGGTCGGTCGACGGCGGAAGCTCAGCAGGTTGGGGGTGAGGCCAGGGGCGGCACCGCCAGCAGCAGCCGGCTCGGAGGCGGTCTGAGCGTCGACCGTCGGCGAGGCGGTTGGCGTCGTCGAAGGGGCAGCTGCATGGATGGGGGCCAAAAAAAAAGAGAAAGGGGAGAGGGGCACGGAGAGGAAGGAGGAGGAGAACGGGTCAGAAAGGCGCGCAGAAACCGCCGGGAAGAGGATGCTCCGAGCAGAAAGACAAGCACGAACCGAAGCTCACCGGGCGGCTACCATCCGTGAGGAAGGGCGTGCCGACGCTGTCGAAGCTGGAGAAGTCAATGCGCCAGTTGGAGTCCTCGTCGGCAGTCGGCTGCCCAGCCAGACGAGAGGTGGTCAGGGCAATGCCAGCCGTGTTGACCGGGATGGCCGCCTCGAGGCTGGCCGGGGCGCTGGCGGCCTCCTCTAGGGCCAGGGCGCTGGACATTGGCACGGGGTGGCGGACAACACGATTGGCGAAGATGTTCTTTGGCGGATCGGCCGGGGTGTCGAAGTCCCCGAGGGTGGCCCGCGAGGCGTAGTCCTTTTCCGTCGAGAGGAAGGTGCGCACGGCGCGGACATTGGCCAGAGTGGCGTCAATCTCGTTGGTCTGGCTGCTGATATGGTCAGCCAGGTGCTGGGCCGTCACATTGACATGGTAAGCGAAGGCGCCAAGGCCAGAGAAGGCATACTGTGGGCGTATGGTGGGGAGTGAGAGAGGGGGCGGGAGAGAGAGAGAGAGAGAGAGAGGAGAGAGAGGAGAGAGAGAGAGGAGAGAGAGGTAGAGAGGGGGAAAGGGTTAGTGTATCGCGGCAAACGGGGCCCTCGGATGGGGGGGGGGGGAGAGAGAGAGAGAAGGACGGAGAAAGGAAGAAGAGTGGGCTGTAAAGAAAGGCAAAGGTGTGTAGAGGCGCACGTTGCGGGTCTCCTGAAGGACACGCTGGGGGTCGGCAGCGACCTGAGCATTGGTCGCGGTGATGTGACGAAGAATGCTGTCGATGTACTCGTCGTTCTTCTTCAGGGCCTGGGGGCGGGGGTCGAATGGGAGGGTCAGTATGAAGTGCGCCGGGGAAGGGCCATCACAGGGAGGCAATGGTGCAGAGCAGACCCACCTCGAGGGCAGCGGCGAAGGCGGAGCCAGGGGTCTCCATGGCAGACGGGTGGAGTGCGCGGCGCGGGCGGGCGAGCGGGAGAGCGGCTGCGGGCGAGCGGGAGAGGGGGAAGGGGGGAGAAGGAGGGGGGGGGGGGGGTTGTCGGCTGCCGGGACCGAAGTGATGAGGCTCATTCCGGCGCGCTTTTCCCCCACCGGGCGGCCGGGCCGGAGGCGGGCTCCTGGCTCAGGGGCCAGGGGGAGGGGCGGGATGCCCCGAGCCGCGCCAGGAGAAAGCGGGGACTCATTCAACCAACAGCCCCTGGGG